GAAGCCACATTTAAAAGTGTTCCAAAAGTTGATTTTCAGCTCCCTTGAAGTAAAAATTGCTCTAAACAAAGGCAGGACTTGAAGCTTCTTTTGCCTCTTGAAGCCACTTATAATTTTCCATACTTGAAATCTGGAGGAATTCGAAATGGCCTTGCAGCCTGGTTTAACGCACTAAAACATACTCAGTTGGCTTCTGAAACCATTTTTTGATTATTTGTTGCTTTGATGAGCAACAAAAGAGCTTCAAGACGTTGAAATGGCAAGATCAAGCAAGGTTTTATTGAATTTAAAACCGTTTTTAGCTGAAACGTTGTCAGGAAATTGGGCATTTTTGTACCAGCTGAAAAACTTGCCCATTCGTTGTGTTGAAGCCGACTTTGAAACTGTCTAAGAATGTTCGTTCAGTTTTCAGCCATCTGCCTGAAGCCGCCTGAGAGTCGGCGGGCCATTTTGAAGCGTTACCAATTTCGGCGTCTTGAAGCCATTTAAAAAACCTTTGTGGCACTTTTTAAGCGACTTCAAGCGCAAGAAAACGGCCAGGGTTTGGATTTATTGAAGCCGGTGTTACGTATGAAAGCCTCTCAAACGTTCAAGGGTTTCACTAAGGTCTTGCAGCCAAATTTAAAAAGATGTTGAATCTTGAAGTCGCTTTAATACTTTACAGCTTTTGAACTACTACTAATTTCATGCATTATTTGTTTTATTTTTAATAATCGATGGTAGTTTAGGCACCGAGAATCGCCCTGAACCTGCCACTGTTTCTCGTGTGCCTTGCAGCCAAATTTAAGCTGTTAAAGTCACTGTTAAAAATTGCTTTGTTGATGGTGAATGTCTAGAGGCTTGCAGATGGTGACTGTTTGCTTTGGAGGCGTCAGAAGTTTTATTGAATTGCCACACAATTTTCTGGAGGATTTCTCAGTCCATTCAGGCGACCCTCGAAGGTGAAGAAGTCGCTTTTAAGCTTTTGAAGCCTCTCCAGTGTCTTGAAGCCCCACGGATAGCGAAAGCGCCCTAAAATTGGGGATTGAGTTGATTGCGCCAGTAATCCGGTCACAAACTGGGCAAAATCGATAAACTTATCCGTTTGGCAACATTTTCTTCGTCATCAGCTTCCTGCTGGGGGCGTGGGAGTGTGATTGAGCCGCCCGATTCAGAATCCAAACGCTTTACCAACTGAAGGAGCCACGGTAAAGCGTAGGAATTCTAAACCAGGCAGCCCCCACAGCCCCGAAACTCGATAAATCAGCCCGCACTCCACTAACTGAGTTATTCCTCAACGTCTCCTCGAGCCTAAGCAAACTTCTAGGTGGCGGCTGGAAGACTTGCAGGTTAATCCGCCTCGGTAAATATGACAAATATTTTAATCCGACATCTCGTTCCTGCCGTTCCGCAACTGATAAAGAACGGATTTAGACACCGGGATCGTTTGCGAGCGAAGCAAAATTGGGGAGATCACGATGTGAAAAAGCTTCTCGCCTAATTGTTGTTGCGCCAGCAAGATAGTTTTCAACTCAAACAGACCGACTAGAGGCAAAAGAACGAGCACAGAGCCTGCAGGCTCCAGTTGGCGGAAGCCCAGTTGCAAACCAATGCGTTTTGCATTTTTAAATACCTCCCTTAGGCCTCAGGGTGCCCAGTTTAAAGTGGCTTCAGATTCCCTTAAATCGGCTGCAAAACTTCAGGATTCCCTAAACCGCCTCCAGAGCAAACAGTCACCATCTGCAAGCCTTTAGACATTCACCATCAACAAAGCAATTTTTAACAGCGACTTCAACAGCTTAAATTTGGCTGCAAGGCACACAAGAAACAGTGGCAGGTTCAGGGCGATTTTC